GAGAATGTCACAACCCCGCTTTAGATACGAGTTGCCTTCTTATCCTGCTCCTTAGGATGCGCTGCGGCAGAAAAGATACACTCCTCTTGCACAGGGAGGTTCTGTTTATTCGTTTCGTTCATATCCTCGGCTCCCTCCCAAGTTTTATCCTCCTCCCTACAGCCCTGTGAGGTAGGCCAGGCTGATGGCGAGAGCACCTCGCTCAAAATCCCCCCGGTGCATTTCAGGGGTCCATAGGGCCAATCCTGGCCCAAAGCCAGGTGGGCCTGTGTGCTCTAAATGCCAGGGCCGATTTTTGGTCCCAGTCCGGCCCTGAGAGTGTGCGATCAGAGGAGGCTTCGGACTTCCTGGTAAGGTGCTGCATTCTACTTTTTAAAAACTGGCTGCTCTGGGTGGGTTTTGCAGCGTGGGTTTGGGCTGGGTGGTGGGGCTATGTTTCTATACTGTGAAGGGTCTTGCAGGGTTTGTTTTTTGGGGTTCCCCCCATTTCCGCTAGGTCTTGCAATCTCTGCTTTTTGGAGTTTTTTCCGATGGGTCTTGCAGTGTCTGTTTTTTTGGTGATTTTTTCCCCATTTCCGATGGGTCTTGCAGTCTCTGTTTGCCTTTTGGTGATTTTTTTTCATTTCCGATGGGTCTTGCAGTCTCTGCTTTTTGGTGAACTTTTTTTCCCATTTCCAATGGGTCTTGCAGTCTCTGTTTGCTTTTTGGGTGTTTTTTGTTTGTTTGTTTGTTTGTTTTTTTGCATTTCTGATGGGTCTTACAGTCTCTGTTTGCTTTTGGGGGTTTTCTTTGAACTTAATTGAGAGACAGGTGCATAATTTAAATAAAATATTCAGTTCTTGGAGAACAAAAATATAGGTTCAGTCAAAGTGTCTTTGTATGGAATCGATCTTCCTGAATCTCTAGTAGAAAACTATATAAAAATACATGTGCATGCTGCAGAATACCAACAAGTGTGTTAATATAGCATATTCCAGAGGGAGGAAGTGGAAATTGTAATTATGAGGTAGTTATAGTGTAATTACATTGCAGATTTGCTGTAGTATCATAACCTTACTAATTATTCATTTTCTTAAAAGAGAAAGTTAGCTACTGCAATGAAGCAGTTATTATAGATGTTTATTTTGTTCCATTATTTTCAGTTGTGTGCTTCCAGGCCATAATTACAAGTTAGCCATATTCATGGTGCTCTGTAGTTGCAAAGTGCAGAAACTTAACATTGTGTAATCAGTTGTTAGCTGGTATTAGTTAACTGACATAACAAAAGCGAACGTTTCTCCCCAGTGCAAAGTACACATTAACCAAAATCCTATTACATAAGTTACTCCTGTTGGAAGATGATGATGTCACTGGCAAAGGAGATTTTTTGCTAATTAAAGACTTCCTACTCTGTCCATGGGCTGTCCAGCTCAAGAGTAATCCATTTCATTATGTGGGAGCTGCAAGACAGGAGGTGGTGGTCATGGTTACAAAAAATCTCCTATTGTGAGTACTCAATGGCAGAGATTTTGGGTAAATAAAGACTTGCTCCTTCCATTCCCCAGATGCCACAGCTTCCACATAAGGAAACAGTTTACTTGTGTATTTGACAGGCCATAGGACAGAAAGAAGAAATATTTGATTATGAAATCTCCTCCAGCATTTCAGTAAATATTGGACAAGATGTAATAATTTATGGACGGGGAGATTACAGTTTTGGGTGTACCTGTATCCACTCGAGGAATAATGGGAATTGGCATCTAGCAATATAAGGAGGTCCACACATTCACTCATTCTTGTTCTATCCCATCAAGGCAGCTCACAACATACTGTACTTTAGAAATGCTATATGCAGGCTTAGTGGGCGCTAATTTCCCCAAATATATCTTCTATTTATTCTACAATAAATTAAGTTCTTGTTAAGTTTCTGACTGTTCCTCAGCAGTGAAGCAGGTGAGAAGTATTCCTCAAGAAACACCCATTCTCCAGGCCAAATCTGGGAGCAGAACAGAAAAGAGTATTCAAGGCCAAAATATAAAAAACTTAAAAAGTATAGTCTCCAGCAACTTGGAGAACTGGGTTATTTAGAAGTAACTTAATAGGCTAAAGAGAGGAATTGGCAAAACCTAAGTGAACCTAGGAAAATTGAATTTTTGCAGCAACATAGTCTTTTGAAAGACACCTGTGTCAACGTATAGGTCAACAAAACTTGAGGAAGGTAGCTCTGGGAGCGCCAGGGGAATGCTGCAAACAGTAAAAATTCCCCTTCCTCCCCACTCCTCCTTTCAATGGCAGGAGCATTCTCATCAGAACTCTGCTCAATATTCTGCTGGCAGAATAAAGCATGGGGTCCGTTTCAGTGTCGCTTTGCAATTTCTGGAATTTGTCACTAAACCATCCCAACCTTCCATTTTAAATTAATAGGGTGCACATTATTTGCATGCAAATGGAAGGCACATTAATATTTGTATATTAGTTAAGATACACTTCAACACAAATATCATTTGGTTCTTAATTTTCATTGCATATAAATTTATAGTGCAGTTCCATATGTGCCTAAGGCTACATAGAGTTCAACGAAATTTATTTCCAATTTACAGGATTGCTTCAGTGTGTAGAATGAAAATTCCAAACTTAATCTGATCAAAATAAATTGTGAGTTTTCTCTTCAAAATGTTGTGTGAGCCACTGGATGCATTGTATAAGTGGACTCACACATGCCCCCCCCCAAATCTCTTCATTCTCAATTCTGTGTGCAGAAAAATACTGAAGCCTAATCCAGACAAGATGGAAGTACTGTTGATAGGAGTGACATTCGATAATAGATAGAAGTGCGCAGCCTGTTTTTTGATGGAGTGGTAGTCCTCCTGAAGGAACAGGTATGCCATTTGGGGAGTGCCCACACCTTTGCACCCTGACAAGCAGGTGGCAGCTGTGGTGAGGAGTGCCCAGCACTGTCTGGTGCACCACTGGTTGCCGTTTTTGTAGGAAGTAATCTTTCCACAGCTCTGTGTGCCTTGATGACTTCAAGGTTTGATTACTTGAAGTCGTTGTTTCTGTGTGGGGCTACCCTTGAAAATCTCTAAGAGTTTTCAGTTTTGATGCAGGGATGTACGTACAGTGGTGGCCCGCATAGCGAGGTTAATCCGTTCCAGATTAACCTTCGCTATGGGAAAACATCGTAAAACGGATCCAAAAAAAACATTGGAACTCATTAAACAAAGTTTAATGCGTTACAAATGGGCCCAAAACTCACCGTTCTCCGATGTTTTCCCTTGTTCCGGCAGCCATCTTGGGTGTACCAGCGGCCATTTTGAGTGTACCGGCGGCCATTTTGGGTGTACCGGTGGCCATTTTTTGTGTTCCGGTGGCCATCTTGGGTGTACCGGTGGCCTTTTTTTGTGTTCTGGCGGCCATCTTGGTTGTACCAGCGACCATTTTGAGAGTCCCAACAGCCATCTTGGGTGTACCGGCACCCATTTTTTGTGTTCCGGCGGCCATTTTGGAACCGCTGAACAGCTGTTCCCCCATCATAATGCGAGCATGCCCTCGCATTAGCGATGGGGAAATCCACATCGCAATGCGGATTCATCGTTCAACGGTGCACTCGTTATACGAGGCACCACTGCATTAGTAAGTCTTCTGGTGAGTACATGGCTTTACAATTATAGAACACTAGTTTTGTACCAGTTGTCTTCTTTCGTATTAGCACCTGGGCCAAATTCAAAGTACTGTACTGGTTTTCAACTTTAAATCCCTAAACAGTTTGGGAGAGTCTTATTCTGCATGAACCTCACTGTACACTAATCACTGGTGAGAATGAGGACAGAGGATTGTATTTTCTCAGTGGCAGTGCAAAACACTGAATGCAAACAACCTCTTCAGGTGAACCTCTTCTTGTGCTATTCTTGTCTCAGCTGACTCTTTTTCTTTTTGCTAATTTTATTGTCTATATTTTTATCGATTATGCTGCTGTTCAGTTAGTTGTATTGTTTCTTTTTTATCCTGAATTAATATATTCATATATCCTATTAGGTACTTCAAGGAACAGTTACATTTACTAGGGCTTATTTCTGAATAAGCAGAAAAAAGAGTGGATTGTTTGTGATTTTATTTGTTAAACCAGGCCTGGTTAGAGATGTGGAAGCTCCATAGGAAAAAACTGGAAATATAAGAGAAAAATATGTGCTGTTTTTTCCCCATTCTCCCTCTTTCCTGTTGAAATAGAGGGAGAATAAAAGGGAAACTATTATTTTCCAAGTTACTTTCATGGCCTTCACCTATCCTGACACATTATTAATTTCATTGTTAGGCTACCAGGTAATAAAACATGCTCCAGAAAGATATCTGGCTTAACCGTTTGGTTTGTTGTTTTTTTTTTAATTGATTTTTCAAGCGGTATTCATTAGGATGCCAAAATGATTCCATACAGAATATGACTGTTCCTTTGATCTAATATGTGATCTAATGATCTAATGTGCTCTTTCCTCAGGCAGAGAATGAATTTACCTTGTATGTATGAACAATGCAAACGTTTGCTGATGGTTACTAATGAGTTGGCAAGGCTTCAGGTTTCTTATGAAGAATACCTCTGCATGAAGACTTTGTTGCTTCTCTCTACAAGTAGGTGAAAGTTGGTGCTTTGCAGTAGTCTTTTTTGTTTGTAATGTGAAAGTTGTAGTTCCTCCTCTGGTATTGACTGTGAACTAAAAACCCTGAGCCTAATTTTGATTTTCAAAATCTTTCTTGCCAGTTCCTAGAGGGTTTTGTTATATGGCCACACCTTATCAGTCTTTAATAGAATTATCAGTTCTGATGTACCTTTTTCTGAAAAAATGAGTGCAAGACATTTTGTATGTAAAGGCAGTTGCCACACACTGTCTTAGTGTGTTCGCATAACCAACAATAAGTGTTGGTGAAAAGAAAAATTCGCACCAGTTTGGGATCCAGTGAATGTTTCAATTAATGAAATGTGTCAATCTTTTTCATAGGCTGTATGAGAGAAACAACATTTTGTAAATAGTGATGGGAGGGTTGGAATCTGTGACCCTGCAGAAATATTAAACTACAAATCCCAACATCCATGGCCGTTGGTGGTGCTGGGAGGGAGTGATGAGAGTCAGGAGGAAAACAACTAGAGGGCAGTAGGTTTTCGACCCTTGTTGTGAAACAGATACAAGGAGGAGAGACCTTTGGGTGGAGGAAAGCTGCTCCTCCATCTTAGATCATGAATGTGAGTGGGATCCAAGAGCACCCTGTGGAGAATATGGCCTTTCAGAACATAATAGAAGAAATCTTTTACTTGTCTGGATTTGCAATAGAGATTAACAAAAAATAAAATAATCCATATTCATTTCTATTAACCAGGGAGAAAGGTGGCTGCAGAATATCACACCCACATCATATATACCTATGATTAGACAAAGCACTTTGATCTTCCTGTAATTGGGATGAGGAATTATTACAGATGTGAACATGGGGATATACCAGATCTTTCTCCTTTGCTATAAGTTGCTTTAAATGCAAACCAGTGTGAAACCTGACTCCTGTTAATCATCATATCCTTTACTTCCGCATACCCCTCTGCATTGGCATATGTAGCTATATGTTTTAAAACTTCTAATTTTTTTCTCTTTCTCCTCCTGCTTTTGCATCAGTGTGAAATTATAACATTTAATGCCATGGTACAATGTATACAGAATTGGGGTTTATAAAAACTTAAGTCTCAATATTTCAGTTCCCAAGGAGGGCTTGAGGAGTCAGGCTCTGTTTGATGAAATTCGTATGACCTACATCAAAGAGCTGGGAAAAGCCATAGTGAAGAGAGAAGGGAATTCAAGCCAGAACTGGCAAAGATTTTATCAACTGACAAAACTCTTGGACTCCATGCACGATGTAAGTGTTATGATATGCAGGCTTCTACACAAGGATTCTGTGCAGATGATATTAAGAATGTGGGCAGTGGGAAGGACATCTAGACATTGTTGCCATTTTAAGTTGAATGGTGTGGGATAACATAGTCCAGATGGAGAGGTTTGTCTAAACCTGACATCTTTGTATTTAGTGGAGTTTGTAACTTATCTTAATTATGCTTTTTTGCATATGCCCATTTTATGTCTGGGGCTACATTTCTACATTGTATCTCATTGGCTAAGTTTGACAACTTTACACTTTGTCATGAGCCATAATGTGTTTTTTTTGGGATTTTTTTTTAATTAAAAGTTTTCAATCTCCCACCTCCCCCAGGTCCCAAAGCTTCCATGAGGTTTCTTTTGTCCCGGGGCTACAGGATGGTGGTTTTGGTGGGTCTTTCATATCTGAAAATTGCTTCTGCTGGGATAATTTTACCACTGGTGATGATTTTCAGATATTAACAATTCCCCTGTACCCCAGTGGCTTCCTTGTGATGAAAGGAATCCAAAGAGAGCCTTTGGTGGGGATTTGGAAAAAATAATTTACAATAAACCTATATGGCTGAGCCATTATCAGCTTTATGAGATATCAAATTGCACAACAGGATTTCAGTCATTGCATTTTTAAAAAATTATGTAATCTAGTTGGAGGCTTTGGCACAAGCATCAGTTCATGCAGTTGTCAAGCAGCATTACTTTTCTCTTGTTAAACTGCACCATATGGGAAATTAAAAACTTTTTAAAGATGGCCTCAAAACAAGATCTACGTTTAAATCCAGACCATGAAGAAGGAAGCTTAATATGGCATAGTGTAATTATTGAACTAATAGCCAGTAGCTTCTCGTTGCTCCTGACTGATTTCAGTCTCCTGACAAAAGGGAAACACTTTTCCCTTTTTCCTTCCACCCCATGCCCTCTGTAAATATGTTCTGGAAGGTTGAAAGACCTTTTGGAAAAATCTGGGTGGGTGATGTGGGAGGCTGCAGAAGAGAATGAGAATCAAATTGCTTCCATTTGCTTTGGTCAGCCAAAGTGTCTGTTAGACTTCCAGTGAGTGGAGTGGTAACAGATGCTTAAAACTCTGAAATCATAAACTGTATTTTACAGTAGGTTTGCCACAATTGTTAAGGCTGATTATGGATTGGCATAATGTGTGGATTAAGAAACCATAATTATATCCGTAGTTCTCCTCCCTATGATAATGTATCTGGATGGAAGGTGAACAAATTTACTGGGGACCAACATTTTGCCTTCAACACCCCTGAGGGCTGCACCATGCTTAGAAATGGCAAAAACAGATCCCAAATTGGGAGGGGGGATCAGAGTGACTGGACATTTCTAGTTTTAATTTTATATATATAACGATTCTGATGGGAGTTGTGACACACAAACCATAAAATCCATTCCTTCTGGATGGCTATAGGAGTAAAAAAAAACATTTCCTGTTTTTTTGCTTGTTTGGGGGGGGGGTAAGAGTTACATCTCTGGGAAGCCCTCAAAACTATTAGCCATAATATGGTCACCCTGATCAAGGAAAAGTTGGACTAGAGACAGAATCGGAAAAAGAAATGAGACAACCAACTATAAATGAAGTTTTGAGTCATTGGTTACTACATATATTGTGGTGTGATAGCTGAATTGAGCAATTATTCTTTTTTGAACAATGTGCTGGCATGTTTATTTTATTTATTTATTTATTTGATTTATACACCGCCCATCTGGCCTAAAAGGCCACTCTAGGTGGCTGTTTATCAATGAATATTCAGGATGCCTGAGTTCGAATCCCCACTCAGCCATGGAAACTCACTCAGGGTGTAGAATTGGAAACTACTTAAATATCTCACTTACCTTATTTTTTCGTGTATAAGATGCTATTATTTCCTAAAATCATTACACTGAAAATTGAGGGGTGTCTTTTACATGGAAGTAAGCTGAGATAGCTGAGGAGATAACAAAACGGTGCATACCTTGCCTTCTGCAAACAGACTTCCTTCAGTCACAAGGCTTAGCTTCCTACAGTCAGGAGACTTAGCTTCCTCCAATTATGAGCCTTATGGAACTGATGTCAGCTGATGCTGAACAAACCAGTTGGAGCACACCTCCTTAGAGGTGGAGCCTATAGGCTCAGAAGTAATGTCTGATGTTCTGATCCCAGAGGCTGAATCCTCAAAGCTCTTAATTTTGGGGTTAGAAAAGTGGGGGACGTGTTATAAATGGGGGTGTTATAAATGGAAAAATATGGTACCTTGAAAGCCCTATTAGGGTCATTGTAAGTCAGCTCCAACTTGACAGCACATAGCAACAATTTCATGTTTGCTGCCCTAAATTTTAAACAATGTCAATTTAATTTTGTTTTAAAGTATTCCACAACATCAATTATGCTTTTGTGCATTGCAAAGTTGGCTTCATCCTTCTCTCTTATCATTTACAGGTGGTTGAGAATCTTCTAAGCTTTTGCTTCCAAACGTTTTTGGATAAATCAATGAGCATTGAGTTTCCAGAAATGTTGGCAGAAATCATCAGCAATCAGTTACCAAAATATTCGAATGGGAATATCAAGAAACTCTTATTTCATCAGAAATGACTGCCTTAATACAGATAGATTGCCTTAAGAAAAAAAAGTCAAATTATAGCTTCTTTTTTATGAACTAAAAGACTTGTTAATTTTGTCCTTGCAACTATATTGGGTGTTCTTGTTTTGTTTCATAATTATGCACTACATGTGGTTTACAGAGGGCCAAGACCTAGGTTTCAGAAGCAGATGCCTCAAACTGAATGATTACAGGAAAAAAGGAAAGAAAGGAAATGTTGTTTGGGATTTTTTGCTCAACATGTATCATCATACTGGCAGTATAGAATGCACCAAAAACAGTGGTGTCAAGTTCAGAATCTTCATTGTCAACGTTCTGCTAGAAATGTCTGCAATTGGCTGGATAAAATTTTCTAGCTTTTTTTGTTTTGGTATAGTTTTCCTTTTTTTGTATAGTAAAAGTAGCATTTTTGATTTATGCATGTAACATGAAGAACGTTTACAACTGTATATCAGAAAAGGGAAGTTGTGCCTTTTATAGCTATTACTGTCTGGTTTTAGCAATTTCCTTTAACTTTATATACAGTGAAGCTTGCTCATTTTTTTCTTACATAATTTTTGTAAAACTTCAAGATGCCTATTGTACAGCTGTTTTTTAAAGTGGGGCAGCTCGTAGCTTAATGACCTCTAAATATTACTCTAAGTATACTCATATGAAAATAGGTTGGCTTTTCTAATCTGATTCAGACTGTCATAATAACCCTTCTAAATCTGGCCTATATGTTCAGCTTTCTTCAGTGTGAGATAAGGATTGAAAAGTATTCCAAATCTAACTTGAATACTGGTAATGCTTACTTTTGCTATTGGTCAAACATGTTCTAAAAGCTACTAGGGAAAGTAGCTCTGTCTTAAAACTGTGTGAACACCAACGTACTGGGGGGGGCAGCCTGCAGATTTGCATTTAATGCAATAGCCATAATTGTAACAATTGTGGGCTGAATTGACAGTTTAAAAGATCAGTCTCAACTGCTAAATCAGGAAACCTTCAGGAAAATATGCATTATTGTTTAAAAGTTTACTTCTACATGGAAAAATTAACATTTTTCCATATTCAGTTTACTGCCATATAAGTGTGTACTTCTGTGTGTATGAGTGTATATTATATATACAATGGCCACAATCCAGATCAGCTGTAAAGTGTAGAACAAAACTAACATGCACAGAATTGACGTGTCTGCTGTACTTGGATGTAACTAAGAAGCAGAAAAATCTGTTTTTTTTAAAAAAATCAGAGAACAATATTGGTAACCAATTCATATTTTTCACAGAAAAGTGCAAAGTTGCCTCTATGGGGTTTAAAAATTGCTGGATTACAGCAGTGGCCTCATTCCAGAGATGTATCCCCACCATCACCTAAAATATGACTGGCACCACCAACCAGTTTTGAGTATCTGTTGGGAAGGGTTGGGGTTATGTATGGAGTGGCTCAAAATGAATAGTGCTGTTAATCTGTTGGACAGAGCACATCCAGTGCAGAAGTGTCTCTGGGCCCTAAACACAAGGGCCTGTCCTCAAAGCAACGTTTTGCACTTCCCATTAATCAGATGAATAAGCAGAAAGAAGCCAGTATCTGCTCATAAATTGCTCACTGGATTGGGGCAAGCATGTACAATCCTGACTCCATTTTAAGTTGATGACTACATTGACTCACACAGTCAGGAATTACATATGTTTGTATGTACATGTATACATACTTCATATATAAATACATACGTATATATATAAATAACATTGATTTACAAAATAGTTATAATTATGCCCAATATATATTCTGTTTATAGTGATTCTTAAAAGATTTTACTTCAGATAAGATTTTTACCTTTATGCAGATAAGGAACTAGACCAAACTATACAAAGAAGAAAGCCTCTTGCGGAAAACAAAACCCCAAACTTGTGTATGGCTACGCATCTGTTTTCACTTTTTACGCCACCCAAATGAACTTGTCTTGTTTCCTGGAGAACGCGCAGATTCCACTGCTGATTTTATGGTGTAGAGTAGGGCTTAGTCTCTGTACAGCTCCAGCCCTTCTGTATCAAACTACCAGTGTGCCATAAAACAACCATGTATGTCTTGTGAATTTTTCCTTGTCATCATTGATTTATATTTTAAACAATTTGTAAGCTGTAGTAGCCCACCCTCTTAGCACCTTAGGAATTTTCAGAAGATTTAAAATGCCATGCCACTCTAAAGAAAGAAGAAAAGAGGGCATTTGCTCTAAGTGGCCTAAATATTTCTGTTAAAAATGGTGGGGTTTAATAATGTAACAGAAGCTAACAATCAAAATATATTATGAAGCTACTAATATATTTTTATTTACTTGTATTTTCAAATATATGTCATTCAGTAGTGTTGTTTGAAAAAAAGAAAGGAAGGGCTACTACAGCTTTTAATGCAGTTTATCAGATTCTTGTAAAATAGCTTGTATAGTGTATCATAAAAATGGTTTTTAGATGACAGATTGCTTTATCATGACGTGATATATTTTTTCTAGGGGTCACAAAAGTGTTGAATGGTAACCCATATAAATCGTGGTTTGTCAGGAAGTATTAATCCTAGCAGCATTGTTCCGAAGTATCTAGAGTGGTACTCTATTGTTTCTGTTATTGTTTTTCCTTTTCTTTCCTTTTTTAAAGGATTTTTTTTTTAAAAAATGAAAGGCACTTACCCATTATTCAGTGGGAGTTCCTGAGGCTGAAGCATAAACCCATTCAACTGCTATAACAAAAAGCATGGGTTGGAATCTGAATGTAAAAAGACTCCAGCCTATCTGCTTGGTCCCCTCACATTCCAGGACTAAACCCATAGTAGCTGTGCAGGTTTATTTGACCCCACCACACACACACACATACAGCAAAAAAATAAATAAAAGCAAAGCCTGACGTCGTGTGTCCATGTACACAGTTACCAATATGTTCACACTGTAGTATATCTGGGCTTACTTTCACATATAGCCTCACAGAGCACAGCAAAACAGCTAGACAAATTTGGCAATAAAATGCATACAGGTACCAGCAATATGTAAATAATAGAGCATAGTTTGATCTCATCCTACTAAATACATTTTTAATTATTTAGCAAAAATGTTCTTGGTAAAATAGAAATTTTACCTGAGCTATTTTTGTCTTTTCTTGACCCTCGTTTTAATGTTAGGCTTATAATTGAATATCCCCAGCTATTATAGTCAATATATGGGAGGAAGAGACCTCATTTAATAATAATAATAATCACTCTTGTTCATGGTGTCTGTGCAGTGCCACAATTAAGTACTGCATTTTAGGAACTTCCTAGAGCTCTAAGTCAAAGGATTGGCACTCCTTTGCACTTCCTTTTGGCCCAAGGCGAGCCTCCCTAGGGGAAGGGGAGAATAATCACCGTCCCCACACATTTCTCTTAGAACTGCTGCAGAGGCAGTGTCACTAGAAATGTGCATTCTTGCTTTGAATTTTTCCCATAGTAGTGCCAGTTTTCCTGTCTAGAGCTCTAGATGGTGTAAAACATAGTTGTGTTGCTGCATAGATGACAACTCAAAGAACACCCAGAAACAACCTGTCTTCTTGAATAAGCTCTTAAAATATGTACGTTTAACAGTTTATCTAAGCTTTGGAAAGTATTTTAACAGTAGTTTGCAAGCCACTGGGGTAAAAATGTGTATTCTGTCTGGTCATTAGCTCACGCTAACAGACTCAGGTATTTGGTTTCAGAAACGTTCCTGAGGTAATGCATGAGGAAAAATTGGAAAGTTATACTTGGGAAATGATATGTATTAAACATTTTAATTCCTGATAGCAAGTACAGTATAAGAAAGTTAATGGTATGTCTTGACACATGCATGTCTTGTGTTTACCAGCACATGCAAGGTATACAGGAATCAGTAGTAGGACTACATGCAAACAAATACTTTAGAGGTGGAAAAGAGGCTCTAATTCTTTGATTTCATGTTATTTGTTCAGGGTTTTTTGTTTTATTTTTTATAGACTTTTAAAAATGTAAATGCTGATTCTGAAAAATAACTTTAAAATTAAATGTTGTTAAGGATTTAAACACAAGCCATTTAAAGTACATTAGCATTCAGCAAAACATGTTTTTCTTGTCTGGCTAGTCTTTCTTCATGCTGGGGGAAATCAGCACTTCAAATAAAGCAGGGAAAATTCTGACTTCTGTCTCTTCAGTGCCTTGCCGCATCATGCTGACGTGGAAATGGTTTCAGCCGCCCCAGATATGCATGCCGTATGTTGAAATTGCACATGGAAATTATTAGGAATGGTCTTTCAGAGAATATGTTAGGGCATGCAGTTGGAGAGAAGACATTTGGTAGCGCTTGTGTCACTAAAGCTATGATGAGAGCTTTGGGCTATAAACCTGAGCATACTTATTTTGAGGTGACCTCTGTTAAAATCTCTGGGTGACTGACTTCCAAATAAATGTGCTTACAATTGGTTCTGCCAATCTTGCCAGCCAGAGTAAACCAAAAATTCAATATTGAATTACCTTGAAAACAGCAGAGAAGTACAAAGTGCGCACAAGTGTGGAAACAAGTGCCAACCTACTTTTAATAACACAGCCTCTTAGCTTTACAGTATAGCTACATGTTAAGAAAAAATAAGGCAGAGGATGGAAAAATTGCTGTATGCCTCACACATGTATATAATTTGGAAGGATCATGCATATGTAGGAACACCAGGAACACAGGCTCAGCAATCAGATCTTCATTTCATTCAGCTTGTATAATCTTGATAGAACCTCTATTCTACATGATAATGTGTTCTCCAGTACTTATGCAAAGAACCTAACCCTCTTACATGGAGAGGGGAAAAAAGCATTTCTAATTGTATTGTGCGGTCAAATGGACCCACCACACCCACCTCTTTTCATTAGGAAGAGAATATGTTATTATTACAACAATGTGTCAATTAAAATGTTATACACTGATGCAGATACATAGAGATTATGTCTGTGATTGCTATAACGCTAACTCAAATCCCATGAGTTTCCAAATGCCGTGAGGTACTGGTCCCCCTTTATTCAGCGCTGGTTAGGTCTCATCTAGAGTACAGTACTGTGTCTACTTCTGGACACTGTGCTTTAAGGATGCCAACAAACTGGAACAAGTTCAGAGGAGAGCAACAAGAATGAATGGGGGATGGGAAACCATGCCCTATGAGGAAAGACTAAAAGGACTGGGCATGTTTAGCCTTGAGAAAAGGAGAATGTGGGGATATCTGATAGCACTTTTCACAGTACTGTGTCTAGTTCTGGACACTGCGCTTTAAGGATGCCAATAAACTGGAACAAGTTCAGAGGAGAGCAACAAGAATGAATGGGGGATGGGAAACCATGCCCTATGAGGAAAGACTAAAAGGACTGGGCATGTTTAGCCTTGAGAAAAGGAGAATGTGGGGATATCTGATAGCACTTTTCAAATACTTTGAAAGGTAATCATACAAAGGAGGGGCAGTATCTGTTCTCAATCATCCCAGAATGTGAGACACATAATAATGGGCTCAAGCTACAGGAAGGCAAATTTAGGCTGAATATCAGGAAAAAAAATGTTAACTGTTAGAGCAGTATGACAATGGAACCAATTACCTCGGGAGATGGTGAGCGCTCCAACATTGGAGGCATTCAAGAGAAAATTGGGCAACCACCTGTCAGATCTGCTTTGATTTGGATTCCTGAATTGAGCAGGTGGTTGGACTCAATGGCCTTATAGGCCCCTTCTAACTCTGTGAGTCTTTGAATATAACCAACTGCTTCAAGAGCTGGAGGGGGAAATGCACTTGTTCCTCCATTTTGAAAATTGGGTCTGAAGAACCCAGTTCATTGCAGAAGGTGTATTCTTGTTCAGAGGTGAGCTGTATTACACCTTATGCCAAAGGAAAGTGAAATTAAATCCAAAGATCTCTCCTGCTTGCAGAAGCCAGAGAACTGCTCAATGTATGTTTCCCCTAGCATTTGGCATAAGATTGTGCAGAACTGTATTTGTAGTTGTTCTCATTTTCACTCCATGTTCTTAAGAACCAACCCCAAATCATAAAAGTCAAGAGTTTTTTTTAAAAACACTCTTGGTGACTATTGCCTCCTTATTTTTACTCCTATATCAAGATAAAAGTAGTGTTTTTATCAT